TAAAGGGGGGCGTGACCAAAAAAGTTTGAGAACCACTGGTCTAGATATTACTTGGATCTTGATGTATAAAACTTGGAAACGAGAACTTTAGATCCATTACTTTAAAAATACTAAATCCAGTTTGATTTCCTGATCTTCCCGAGTTATGATCTTCTGCTGATGATGAAGACTTTGATTGTAATCTGTCTTGCCTGTTTCCAGGCAAGTCCTCCGGGTATCCTGGCTCTCCTGGACGAGGAGTGCTGGTTCCCCAAAGCCACGGACAAGAGCTTTGTGGAGAAGGTCCTACAGGAGCAAGGAACGCATCCCAAATTCCATAAACCCAAGAAACTGAAGGACGAGGCGGATTTCTGCATCATGCACTATGCTGGAAAGGTGCTGACTTGCTCCTCGGCTGAACCCATGTGCGATAACATAGCCTTATTTGGGCATTTTAAACATCTGTGATTGGGTTTTTCAGGTGGATTACAAGGCGGATGAGTGGCTGATGAAGAACATGGACCCACTGAACGATAACGTGGCGAGTTTGCTCAATCAATCCACCGACAAGTTTGTTTCGGAGCTGTGGAAGGACGGTGAGTCGATATATCACATTGGATCAGCTATTAAATGCATAGGTTGTGGAGGAAGACTATAAATGCCGAAGAAATGTGTAGGACACAAGGGCGTGAAGCTTTTAAACTCAACAAAGGGGTACAATGACTAACGGATTTGTTCTCTTCTGCTGGTGTTTGGTCCTCTGTTTCTTCCCCTCTCCATCCATCCATACATCCACCCCTTGTTTCACGTCCTCCTGGACCTCTGTACACACCGTCTCCCATCTGTCCATCTCTCTCAGAGGTCCAGAACTGTCAGAGAGCTTATTTCTATCAGCGTTTTCCTTTCCTTCATTTAGAGTCAGGTGACATCTTTGATTTTTCTCTCTCTCCCATGACGTTCTCTTCCTCCTCCATCTCCATCAGCTGTCCTGCGTGACTGAGTTTTCTCTGAGGTGTTGAGATATATCTCTGATATTTCTGCTGTCTCTCCTCTCTGTGTAATATAGTGTGCTTTGGCGTCCCCGCTGTTGGTCTGTGGTACTGCAGAAATGGGTATAAACTGCATGGGTTTGGTTCTGTTCTCACCAGTGAAACATGACCACAGTCCACAGTATGCAGTTACACACACACACACTCGCTCACTCACGGGGTCCAAAATTCACTTTAGGCAAACCTGACAATGACTGCTGTATAAACAATGTTTTGGAAATATTCATTTTTACTCCATAAGATTAAAAATTATTTTATATTATATTAAATAATTATTTAGCCTTTTTTTCAACTGATGTTCAGCATAGTACACTTGCCAGTCTCACAAAAACATATAATGCCATGTACAAATAAATTATATTACATTTATGTATAATATACAAAAATATATATTTTTTAAAAATTATATTTATTAAACATTAAAACTATTTTATTTGGAATTTAAATAAATATATAATATATAAGGAACTTATTTTCTGCTTAAATTTTGTTTAGTGTACTACATCTTAATGCATTTATGTTTGGCATGAATATGTTTTTTTT